GGGAGGCGGAGCCGGGACAGGGCACCTGGCAGCGCTGCCGGGACCTGGGAGGAAGGCAGCCCCTGGACCGGACACGGAGGCCCTGGTGAGCGGCCGCAGGAGCCCTGTTCCTTCCCCAAACCAGCAGTTGAACTGCAGAGAGGACATCGCAGCCCCAAGCACACCGACCCCATGGGCCCCTCCTCGCCGCCCTCCCCGTGCCTCTGAGCCTCTGCATACCCTGGCATCCATTCTGTGTTCTAGAATTACCCTTTCCCTCAGAAAAGTATTCAGAGTTTCAGTATTAGCAAAGTTTATCACTAGTCCAGACTTTAGACTCCTCTAGGGCAATATACTTGATTGTTCAGTGATATGTAGAATAAATACTTCTCTTCATGAGCAAGTTTCTGAAAAAAACATGGCATTGCCATCAAAATGATCTCCAATGTCTGGAGGGAAGACAAATATTTTTATGTGTCTAAAATTCAAGTTGGAAGTTACAAAACAAGAAGGGTGCTGTGTGTATATATATGCATAAAACTATGAAGGCACCTGGGGGGCAGCCGGGCAGGAACCAGAGGGGCCCAGGTGCGGGGGTGGGGTGGCGAGCCCAGGTCCAGCCAGGAGCCCTTTCTCCTCTCCTGGGACAGCAGGCCCATCTGCATGGTATTACTTACATGTGGATTCTAAAAAAAAAAGTCAAACTCATAGAAACAGAGTAGAAAAGTGATCTTTCCAGCAGCCTGGGCATGGGGGAATTAGGGAGAGACTGATAAAGAGGCACACATAAGGACAATATATAAAACATCTTTGTAGAACTATTATGCCTTGAGTTCAATATATTCTAAGTAAATCCTGAAATACAATGTTCAGTACATGTTAATTGGTGTGACTGCTGAAAATTGAAAAATACAAATGAAATTTCCCTGTTAATTTGAAATCAGAAAGGTGTGGGAAAAAGTCAGTGGTCCCAAACTTATGTTCTGGAAATGAAAACAATATATTCAAACAGTCAACGGCAACATGCAGCTACCTTATGTTTTTGAGAAATGAGAATCATCTCAGCTGTGTGATTCATCCTTTGTGCAATATACAATGGTGATAAGAGACTAGAGAGAACCTCTCTTAGGAGATACACATAGAATTCTTACTGTATTAGAAAATTCTGGGCATCATTTGGGTCATCGCTGTGAAGTATAAAATGGAGTTATTTCAGATGAAAACAATCAGACTTGATGAAAAGTTTGGGCAACAGGCGGGCGGGTCCCTGGCAGAGGGGCAGGAAGGGGTGGGGGTTCGGGCAGGTCCCGTCTGAGAAGGGGGTGAAGCTACACGTGGAGACCGACCTCGCGCATCAAGGGGCCGGCCGTCCGGGCAGCAGCCAGTGGCCTACTTGCTTACAGTGTCCCGAGTGCGTCCGTCTCCTCACGAGCCTTAAGTACAAGCAGAACAGAAATCACATTGTTTTCAGGCAACAGCCGTTCAGTAGGTGAGTGGCTTGATCACATTTGTTTGTATTAGTAACGCATGCAAGCAGCTAGGACCGTCCTGGCCTGGCGCCTCTACAGAGTCCCCG